GCAACATCACGTGCATCATGCGCGTTATGGGGCGGGTTGAGAAAAGTCAATTGATTGAGAATTGGTTTACATGGTTAGGTTTGGTAACCTAGTTGGAATAAATGGGTATTAGGAGTCCAGTTGTATGCGTGCTCTAATATGTGTGATCGTACTATTGGGTGATGGATTCCTGCTAACAATGGCTACAACGAGGGATAATTCCATTATTAGCATTAGGTGATTCGGTAATCACCAAATAGAGGAGACTTACTAATACCCGGGGTATCCGAAATTAAAATCTATGAGCATGGTGAGGAAGTCCAAAAAGCATTGTATATCACGTGCATCATCCCACTTATTAAGCTTCGACTCACCTCGTTGTTATTTCCATTATTATGATAGGAAAGGGTCAAAGTAGCAAGGATGCTACCAGTTCCTCCTAAAAAGGGGATCATGCGTGACACAAACGTAACGAAGTTTATTTGATTGTAATATTTTGGGTTGAGGTGTCGGTGGACATTTTAATGGTATTGTAATTAATTTATAATTTGTTTCACTATATTTGTTAATGTTATGTAATTTGTACGAGTACGTGTTTCATTATATAATGTGTCCTTAATGTATGAGTATGTACGAATTAGGGATTAAGTCGGGATTTGATCATGTCGGCGTGATGCATTCCTCGCTTGGCCATTCCTTTTTGGGTAATTAGCGAGTGGACTGGGGAGGGGCGCCACGTAATGGGTCTTGCCAACCCTCTCTCGTCCTCTCTTCTTTCACCCTTTTTTTTCTCTACATTTAGTAAGCAAGGACCAAAATGAAACAAAAATAAATTTACACATCAAAAAATAATATTTTAAAAAGAGAGACCAAATATAATGCCACAATGACTTTCATAGTAAATGCCTTAAGAAAACTTGAAAATTACAACAACATCACACTATAGTGAAAGGAATAATGCAATGAGTCATGGTGAACAAAGGAAATGAGTTTGCATGAAAAGTGTTTGAAACACTAAAGTGAATAGTAAATAATGGTTTTGTTTTGTTTTTTTTTTTGTTAATATATCGAATGAAAGGTAATTTAAAAAAATACAATAACTTTTTAATCAAAATATTGTATGTAATTGATTATTCCTTATTTTTTTCATAAAATTTCAATTGAAAAAAAAAACATAATTTGTTATTATGTATACATTGATTCTTAAATAAGAACCTACAACAATCTAAATAAAAAATTGAATCTGATTTTTTTATAAAAAAGAAACCTTAATATCTTTTTTCATAAGAAGTATAAAAAAAAAAGCAACAATTAATATGAAAAATTGTTTAGAAATTAATTAATATAAATATATATTTTTATTCTTATTTAATATTTATGAAAATATTTTTTTAAAGCACATACATTTAATTTCTATGTATATTGAATCACAAAATAATCAATAATGTAGCATTCAAACTGTATTTCAATGATTGAATGATTCTTTTAAAATATTATTTTAATTATTTTATTTGAAAGAAACAAATGTCAAAATTATCCAAAAAAATTAATATTAAATTTTTGGTTTTATGTTTGTAGATGCATACTTAATTTCTAATAAAATTGGTATATATATATATATATATATATATATATATATATATGTATGTATGTATGTATGTATTTCTCTCATTTAAAAAATTATATAAATTACATACATAAAGGGAGAAATAAATCTTATTTTTTAAAAAATTAAAATATATAAAAAATTAAGAAATTAATTAAATGTTTCCCATTAAAATGACAAATCAAAGAAATTATCTTAAATTTTGAAAGAAAAAAAACATAAATGAAAAATAAAAGAAAATATAATTTTTAATCGTCTAGTTACCTGAAAAAAAAAAAAAAAAAAAAGCAAGAATAGGAGACAATGTGTCTTCTGCTACAACTCTTGGGAACTTGAGTTTGTCGAAAAAATGAGTTTTCGCGTTTTCTAGCTCCAAAAATCAATTTGTCCATCTTTTTTGATAAAACAACACTTTAAAACACCAAAATAAGGTCAATAAACTCATTTAAAAATTTAAAAATATTTTTAATGCACATTAAAAAACAAATTGGAATAAAAATTTTAATTGCTTTTTTCCTTCAATTTATCTCCTCCAATCATTTGATGACTTAAAACCACCATAGACAAACTCTTATTTTCAAGATAAACAAATTGAATGGGGTATCGCCAACTAAAGTGATCGAAATAAGTTTGGCCAATACTCTCTCTCCCCTCCCTTCTCTCTCTTTGTTTCTCTCTACTATCTGCACCCAACGACCAAAGTATGTCACAATTAAAGTTTTGGATCAAAATAAAATTTTTAAAAACATCGGGAGCCAAAGTATAAAAGTGCATATAATTTTCTTATAATTAATTGCTTGAAAAAGCTAAAAAGAATTACAAAAGAATAAAATAAAATAAAAAATGAACTTCCATCCACGTAGTATAGTTGAGTATAGAGCTACAATACCTGCATAGTAAACTCCACACAAATCTTTTAGTTTGTTTTATAATGTTTCTATTTTCTCATTTAGAAAAATAAAATCTTTTTTATTTTTTTCAAAAATCCAATAAATTATTTTTTTCTATTTATTAAAATTTAAAAATTATTTGTCATTTTTAATTATAATGGAGACTTGTTTATCATTTATTGAATCTATTTTGTTGACTACCAATCAAATCCTCACTTAACAACACATCTTGTAATGTAAAGGACTATAATATAAGTTAACTAACTAAAATATTTAATTGTGAAAACTTTATTGTCAAACTCGAGAGATCATAACTTGACTAGCTAAAATTTTAATTGGGGAACTTTAGAATTCATAATATAAGTTCAAGCACTACTAGTAAAAATGTCAAAAGCAAATTTGATTATGCGAGAGATCTTTTTAATTGTTATCGATTTTTTCATACAATCATTTTTGAACTTATAAAAAATGAAAATTTTAAGTAAAATGGTAAACATAATTGATAATGAATAAAAAAAAAGGTAAAATAGTGAAACTTTTTGGCTATTTCTATATATTTCTTGAGCTTTAAAAAGTTTTAACCAAAGCTAAATGGGTCAAATGGAAAATTAAAATAAAATTCATCTGCTACTAAACATTGAACATATGAATGATTTTGAAATACATGAAACAAATATTTCAAATGAACATTTAGAGCAACCGTTGTATGTTGGAAATTTAATCTCACTTTGTATAAATTAGATTTCGTTAAATAAAAATAATGAAGTCAAACACATAAAAAATAAAATAATAACAAGAGTACAATCATAAGAAAATCAAAATTATATGGAAAACATTTTCTATATTAGAGCAAAAACTACTGAACCAACTTTAAAATGATCTACTATAATTAAAAAGCAATACAATCACTTAAGTTTTTCATGAACTTGAGAAGTAAAAAAATAGTGACGAGTAATACAAGTTGTCTCTCTAACCAAATCAGTCTTATCATTAAAATCTAAAATCTATTAAATTTTTTAGCTTTGCAAAACTCAATAACGTATGAGATTATTATTTTGAACATTGTAATTTTAAGTGACTGTAGTATCTAAAAATAAATTCTATCCCAATATTTTGTGCATAAAAAATTCTTGCTTGTCTTTTCTATAGCAATCAAAGAAAAACTCTTGTTTTTCTATTTCCTATCATGTTACTCTCCTTGTAACAATAATAATAAAAAAAAATCTTCCCTTTATATACATGTCTCTATTAAACAAGAAAAACAAATCAAGAAAAGAAACTTTTCGCTTCACTTTCACAATAATTTCTTTTCTATTTTATTTCTTGACGAATTATAATACTAAAATCACTCATGCACATGACCTATATAAACCAATATTTTACATGTATCGAAGTTTAAGGGGTTGTTAATATATAAGTAGGATAATACTAAGTGGTGTACTAAAGAATCTTACTAATACTAATTAATAACATTTTTATTAGTATGATGTGCTCTAATGTAACGGAAAATGAGATGATTTATTATATTTTTTTACTTGGTTGCAAAATTTATAAGTCATTGAATGTATGTTTTCATAAATTTTATTTTAATTTATAGTATGATTACAAATGTTTCATCACATAGCTTTTTTTATAATACATGTAATGTGACAAGTAATTAGAATTGTAATTGTTATGTAATGGGTCATTTCAGGATTTATTAAATCTAACCAAATACATCATTAATATTCATAATTAATATGATAAGTGCATATACTATTTGTACAACACTATTTATCACTTGCAACTACAAGGTATATAAATTTTATTTATGATTTTACTATTTGTATAGAGTTTTTCATTGATCTAATTGAGACGACAAAGTATATAAATTAATGAATCCGGAAATATGGTCTAACGGTAAAGGAGTTGTTTTGATTTGAATAAGATCAATGTTCAATTCTCTCGATCTACGAATAGCTAGTCATAATTATTCTTTAGAGATATAAAGCTTGAGTTAATTTGGTCTAAAAAGGAGGCCGAGTGGTCAACCAAGGGCTAAACATATTGTGACTTTGGTTTAACTCCAAAAAATTATAGATTTAGTCTCGATGAATGCAAAAAATTGACACCAAAATATCCTACTATATATATATATATATATATAAGTAAATTATTTAACTAATAGTGCTAATTCTTATGAAGCAACTCAAACTGATCATTAGAAACTTTCATAGCGATTCCAAATGACAAGAACATAGATTTAGACAATCCATAACTTTTACCACTACTTGAACCTTTAAATTACATTCCAAAATACTTATTATTAAATGATACTCATGATGGTGGTTAGGTTCGAATGGAGAAATAAGAGTTTATTTAGGGAGTTGTCCAAAATTATAATCCTTGAGCACAATACTCTTGGAGGTGGACACACCTACTAGGTCCAGATTGAGGAATAGGATATTATTTAGGGAGTTGTTTTAAATTCCCTCTAGTAAGAAATGAGGTGAGAGGTGGTGGTGGATAATCCGAGCTGCCCCTACTAGGTCTAGATGGAGGAATAAGGGTATATTCGGGGAGTTGTCCAAAGTTCCAACCCTTAAACAAGGAGTTGGGAGGTGGTGGTGGTGGATAATCCGAGGAGCCCCCGCTAGGTTCGGATGGAGGAATAGGGATATGTTTAGGAAGTTTTTCAAAGTTCCAACCTTTGAGAAAAGGGGTAGGAGGAGGTGGTGGATAATCCGAGCTTCCCTATTAGGTCTAGATGGAGGAATAGGGGTATATTTAGGGAGTTGTCCAAACTTCCAACCCTTGAACAAGGAGGTGGGTGGTGGATAACCCGAGGAACCCCTACTAGACTCGGATGGAGGAATGGGCATATTTTTAGGAAGTTCTCCAAAGTTCCAACATTCGAGGAAAGAAGTAGGAGGAGGTGGTGGATAATTTGAGCTACCCGTACTAGGTCCGGACGGAGGAATAGGGGTATATTTAGGGAGTTGTCCAAAATTTCAACCCTTGAACAAGGAGTTGGGAGGTGGTGGTGGTGGATAATTAGAGGAGCCTCTACTAGGCCCAAATGGAGGAATAGGGATATTTTTAGGAAGTTCTCCAAAGTTCCAACCCTTAAGCAATAGCCTTGGAGATGGTGGTGGATAATCCGAGGTATCCGTACTAGGTCCGGATGGAGGAATAGGGTAATCTTTGGGAAGTTCTCCTAAGTTCCAACCCTTCGATGGTGATGATGAATCCACTTCCGCAAAGGAAAATCCAAAGCTAATTGCAAATAGAAGGATAAAGGATATCCATGATGGATGTTGGTAGAATAACACCATTATTTTTTCTATATTTTAGAATGCTACCTTTCGGACAAAGTTCTTAACTTCTTTTGTCTGGTTTCATGGTCTAATTGTATTCTCAATCCTATTATAAATATTTACTAGAAACCTATTCGAAAGGGCCTACCTTAATAATTAGGAGTTTGATGGTATCTAAGAAAAATAAAATTATTCGAACTAGAAAAAGGAAAGCAAATCTTGTTTTCACGTTTTATTTTGTTTTTATTCATGTTATTATTTCTACATATCCTTGTATGCATTGAACATACGTGAATGAGGTGATTTAATTACCATATATCCTTAGAAATATTGAATTAAAATTAAGATTTTATTCAGTTATGGAAATAATTTAATCAATTATGTTATTAAATCGAATCATTTCAATTATATATGTTAACAAATTTATGGCTAATTTTGTGAGACTTACGGCTAATTTTTGTTTAATTCTTGGGATTGTAGAGAATTGAAAAGTTTCTAGATTTATTGCAACCATGTGGACTCCATTTATAGCTTAGCATAAGGATAATGGGAATCGAGTCAACAGGCATACACATACTTATATTTTAGATCTAGTTTTCATTCTATCTCGATAAATTTGATTATTTTTAATTTGTTTTCAACCTTTCCATGTAGTAGATATTTTTGCACAAACTGATTAAAAAAATACCATCAATGAGAAATTCAAATCAAATTAAAAAAAAATAATAACCATAAAAAAATGAATTTTAACATTTGATAGAGTAAGATTGGATCCTCTCGGTGAATATGACCTATTATTTTTGTTGAATCATAGTCCTAGAATTTAAATTAACGACCTAGATATCTACATGTGTTCTAAGAAAAAGAGATATCTAAATAAAATTCAAATTGAATGAATATAATTTAGTGTATGATAAAAATAGTAACAACTTAACTCTTTGTTATTTTATTTTTTTCATTTAATGGGATTCAAAATCAATGATTATAATTGCAATATGATTAGTTATTTTTGGACTAAAATTCACTTACTCGTCATTACATTGAGTTTTCATACAACACCACACCAAATGCATGTTTGGTTCCCACAGGGTATGTCCACCTCTCCGTTATGCCAAAGATGTGGCATGGACCAAAAACAATATTGCATGTTCTTCGTGACTATGCGTGGGCCAAGAATATATGGCGAGTAACTTCTTGGATCAAATCTCCTCACTAACTTCTTTTCGGCTTCTTATGAGGATTGGTTGTATGGTAATGCTCTCACCATTGCTGAAAATTTATCCTCAAATGCCGAACCATTTGGTGTGCATGAAACAAATAAGTCATCTAAGGAACTGTTCTTGCATCCGAACACCAAGTAAGGTCGCTATAATATATGATTCAAGATTGTGTGTTAGCTTTTGAAACTTCTTATAATGTCCCGCAACCTAATGCACGGCTTTGGATTTCATGGATAGCTCCTTCTCACGATACGGTCAAGTGCAATACGATGGTAGTTACTTGAGCGTGTCTAACTATGTTGGGATTGGAGGTTTGATAAGGGATCATTATGGTGTATAGAGAGTTGGTTTCTCGAGTTTTCTTGGAGAATCATCTATTATGTCGTCGGAATTAAAAGCTATTCGTCGAGGCCTAATTTTGGCTTAGGAATGTGGCTTTCGGAAGTTGAATATGGAGATTGATTCCCAAGAACCAATCAATGCTATTTATAATGGCATATGTCGGTTCCATCCATATTACAACATCATCATTACATCAATTGCATGTGTCAAAGACAATGTAGTGTTTCCTTTAACCATACCTTGAGGGAAGGCAACAAAGGTGCCGACCACATCACCTATATTTGATCATCAAATGATACTCCTTTTCAAGTATGGAATCATCCTTCGCTGGACATTGTCAACATTCTATCTAATGATGTTGTAGCATGTTAGTGTTTTGAGGCCTTAACTATGCCTTCACCCTTAGTACAAAAAAAAAAAAAAAAAAAACAATGCATGTTTGGTATTATTATGTTATAAAAGCATAGTTGCTTTTGGTTTCTTTTGGTTGTGATTGATATTGCTATCTTTTAAAGTATAGATGCCGAAATCAATGGTTGGTTAATAACTATTTTAATTTGAAATCAAAATAGGTGTCACTTTAAAAGGAAATTAATTTGTTTTTTAAATAAAGTAGGATGCCCTTATCGAAAGCATAAGCTGCTTTTTGTAAAACATACATACATACATACAAATATATATATATATTAAAATGACAACTTTCTCTATTAGTTTTTCTTTCAAAAAGTAAACAATTCAAAAATTCTAGTGTTTTACATAATACTATTTTTAAAAAAAATTAACTAATTGACTTTTATTGAAATTATGCCTTTCTATATTACAATCCTATCTAATATTTTTTTTAAGTTTTCCAGAATTAAGAATTATCCTTACAAAAAATATGCATGTTGTCATCTAGTTTAAGAAGTTATAAAAACCATTTAATATAAATAAAAAAATATGTATTAAAATATTTTTAGTATGTTATAGTCTTTATTGATTATTATATATCTCAAAAGAACAATGATAAAATTTAACAAAATACCTTTTAACAACTTTAAATATTTATAATTTCAACACAATAATCGGCTACAAACACTACTCTTACCCCTCCTCACAACATTGAACAACACAACACAACATAGCTCAAGGCAACATAACACAACAATATCAAAGAAACTCTTGATTTAAAAACGAGTTTCTTTAATGCATTAATTTGGAATTATACTTATACATTAATTTATAAATTTAGTAATTTAATGAATTGAATTTAGTAATTGAATGTTAGGATAGTAAAATGCTCCTTAGTTTTATGCTTTACTAGGTAAGGTATATCAATAAAATAAGAGCCTATTTTACAATGTTAATGATGAAAATTAATAAAGATCCTCATTTTTCAAATTCAATTTGTTCATAAACAAAATAAGCCTTTTAAAAACCCGTTTAACTTACTAGTTGATTTGATTTTTGTTGAATTAGGTTCGAGTTTGTTTCTAATTGACATAATGTCATGATTTTGACTTTAAAAATTCATTAAGGGGAACAACGACAAGATATTACAACAACAAGCCTTAAACATGGAGGACAATAGGTAGACTTGAATATTAGGGATGACCGACATGATGATAATACTTAAATATTGAAAATAACTTACAACTTAATAAAATATGAAATAGAAAGAGGAATGGAAGGAATAGCAAGCAACTTGAGCAAGTGAGAGCATAGGCGGTAAATGTGACTTTTAGCGGATGGGAAGTATGATAGGGGCAAAGGGAATATTTTCCCATGCTTAAGAAATAATAACCTAGGAGACTACCCAAATAGGGATGCCTTAGGAATATGCCCTAGAGGGCACCAATCCTAAAAAGGATTCCATACGAGAGAGGAAATGTGTGGGTTTTAGTGTGTGTGTGTGTGTGTGTGTGTGTGTGTGCTTGAGAGAGAGAGAGAGAGAGAGAGAGAGAGAGAGTCGATACATTAATTCAAAGAATATTAATTTTACATTTCTCGGTAAGTATGCACATTTTTTTATTTTTTTTATTTTTAATGAGAATAGGGATGTTACCCTATAATATATTAATAGAAACGTGCAAAGATATAAGAGGGGGACCAACCAACATAGTGCAACAAATTGAGAGGACTAAACTCCCGAAATAAGCTTATAGTAAAGTTTCCGAAAACAAGTTACAAAAAAGTTTCCTAAACAATGACAACAAGAAACCGATTATGGAATAAGCTGCAAAACTTATATTTAAATAACAAATAAACTAAATATTAAGGACTTAACCGAAAAAAGACCCTAATCTACCTCTTATAGAAACTAGCTTAATCAAAATGAAAATTATACAACCCATTTTTATCATCAAAAAGTGCGGATCTACGAACTGAAGGGCAACCCATGAGAAAAGAAGATCACCTTGTTGGAACCATCAAGGTAGGCCCAATTTGTAAGCCTATCCACATCCATATTTCCCTCCTTTTGAACATGTTGTAAAATCGTATGTGCTTGAAGGTTTCCCAGCACTCTCCGAAGATGTACGTTAGTTATCGTGGAAAAGAACTAGTATGGGATAAACTTGTTATCATTAAGGAAGAGTCAACCTCTATAACATCAAACCGTAAGTTATGATCAATACAAATTTTGATGCCTTTAAGAAGTGCCAATGCTTTCCTTTTGGAGTTTGTTCCTGGACCAAAGAAGTAGAAGAAGGCCAACCAAATTACCATGTTCATTATGAAGAATACCCCCACTATAAATATTATTCCTTGAAGTCCCATAAGTATTTAGTTTTAGCTTACCCATAAAAGTATACTCGCCATTTAATCCACTTCCTAGTGGAGGGATGAGAAGCTTGCAGCTAGATTCCCAAAGCTTGAGAAAATAAACTATCATGAAAGGAAGTTGAAGCCTTTGGGGAAAATAGCATAGAAGTATCATTTAGCCAGTGAAGGACTTTATGTTTGTTAGTGATCTCATTCATTCTCTCACCTTCAAAAATGGATTTATAAATTATTCTCTTGCTCTAGCTGCATAGTCGAAATTCAATTTTTTTGGGCACGACACTTTGTTATGGCTATATTGATAGTAGGTTGAGCATCTCATTTTTTTTTACTAGAGATGATTGTGTTGGTGGTTTCATTGTCTCCTTCCAAAACTACTCTCTATTAAATAGTTGTATTACAAACTAGTATGCTTCCATTGTTCGTGTAGTTGCACTATAAATCTATTCTTTATGCTGACTTGTATACCACATAATTCACTTGTACATTTCGACTTCTATTGTAATCTCTAATCTCGAGTACAACTAACACCAACAACGGTACCTCTAGCTTCATCAACGGAGGTAGTAGATAAGTAATTCATTTGTCTTTCATTACTCTCAATAGTTGAAGAAACTTTTTTCTTTTTTTTCTTCTTATATTATACATGACAAAAAATTATTAGTCTAAAAAATTATTAACAAATAAATGTAAATTATAAAGCTGAAAGAGAAGTTTGACTTGTAAATTATTCTCTTACTCTAGCTGTATAGTCGAATACAATTTCTAGACATGAGACTTTATTATGGCTTTATTGATAGTAGGTTGAGCATCTCACATTTATACCTTTTTTTAATAGTTTGGTACCATTATGAGTTGACTCCTAATTTCTATAAATCTATTCTTTTTAGGTCTTTTTAGCATTTTTTTTTAATGGAGGTGATTGTGTTGGTGGCTTCACTTGTTTGTTTCTAAAATTGCTCTCCATTAAATAGTTGCATTACAAACTGGTATGCTTCCATTATTAGTGTAAGTGTCTAAGATATAACCTTTATTGGATGGTCCGAGTTATTGTAACATTGCATTATTTATTTTGTTAATAATAAAAGAAGTATTTCTATTAATTCTTATTATTTATATTTATTTATTGAATAGAATTAGATATAAGTACACATGATATGCATTTACATTAATGATTAATTGAAAAATATGAGATAAATATTAATGAACTTAAATATTATTTGGTTTAATCTATGCTAATCTCATATGAGAAGGGTATAACTAGTCCTTTGACTTGAAATCATCACGGATAACTCATTAAAAGATTTATGTACTTTGATACTCATTTTTATATACCTAGTGTTGGGTGCATTAGAAATTTAATAGAGATTGGTGGATAATTAAGATTGGACATGTCATTCCTTGTATGCTAAAGAAGTTATCATATTGTACTTCGATAAATGTCCGCTCGAGAAATCTGTGGCCATGTTAAAAGTACACAAATAGAGCATAGTTGGTCTACTCTAAGAGCTAAGATATTTAGAAATTGAAGAAAACTTATGTGATCATAATTGAATAGACTAATAACCAAGTTCAAGATCACACTATGATAAATTAACATGAGGACTAAATTCTATGATAACCATACTTGTGAAAGGTAATTATGGATTAATTAATTATCTTAGAGAATTAGATAATCATGATACCTTGTTAGAAGCCAATCTTGATTTATGTA